CGATTGAAATTATATAATTATATATTTTACAATCTCTAATTTGGAATTAATTATAGAATTGTATTACTTAGGATGAAATGAATGAATCTGACTTAAACATAGAATGAAATTATATAATCTACAATTACAGATTCCAAAAATTGGAGATTGTAAATTATATAATTATATAATATTCAATCGATCCAGTCAGATTCTATATTTCATTCTAAATCGTAAATTATAAATTATACAATTGCATTCTATAATTTAGTCACATTCATTCATTTCATCCTAAATAATACAATTCTATAATTGATTCCAAATTAGAGATTGTAAATTATAGAATTATAGAATTGCATTATTTAGGATGAAATGAATGAATTACTGACTAAATTATGGAATGCAATTGTATAATTTATAATTTGCAATGTAGAATGAAATATAGAATCTGGCTGAATTATGGAATGAAACTGCACGAAGTTAAATTACGGAACGTGAGATATGGAAAGCTACATAATTAATTTATTCGCGATCTATCGTTTTCGTTGAAATATTGCCTCTGGTTTAAATAATTGGAAAGTGCGTGGGATTCGGAATTACTCTTAAAAGAAGTTCTTTTATTTGCGATAATCGAGACAAATTCGTTAGCACAAACAAGGGGGATAATAAGAAATATTACAGGGACGTACTCCGCGAACTGCGTTTGAAATTTGTTTTAATTAAACGACGCTCAAAGGATTCGCTCGTTTCGCGGCACAGATGAAAATGTTGATTGCATGTTTCCAGTAATTGGATCGATGCGATAGCGGCCGTTTGATATTCTGGGTTTGAAGTGGGAGTGGGTGAAGTTTATTCGAATAATAGATGATGAATAGATACACAGCGATTCACTTGTTACGCTTACTGTGTCGATTAATTACTCGAATAACCTTTGTTATAATTTCATTTTGCATTTCAGGATCTTGTCGTTCAAATAGCAAACGAAGATCTGATTATTTAATTTTCGTTACTTCAAATTTTTATTTAAATAAGAATTTTGTCTAAAAGTCTTGCCTTAGAGGATGAATTAATAATTTAAATGCAATACGAAACAATGTCAAATTTGAACATATATTTTATAAAGTTTACACAAAAATATTTTTATATTCTTTCTAAACGGTATTATTAGTGGCAAAATCATTGGAGTTCTATATTTTATAGGTTCCAAAAAAAAAAATCCTAATTATTTTGATCTTTATCGATTACTCCAGCTAGGAACTTTTTATTTACTTTCATTTTATTTACACATTCGAGGCGAGCGAGTTTTCGAATTATTACGAAAAAATGAACGAAGTTCATCTGTTCAGTTGGCCAATTGTTTTCGCTACTTTGAGTTTCAATTTCCCTGAAGGCCTCACAGTGTACATAGCAGAAGAGCACGAGTTAATACTCGCGCAAGCATCACAACGTATCGAATTGCAAATGCGACGTGTCCCGAGCTTTCACGGCAATGAAAAAGATTGCCATCGTAATTCAGAATATCCAATAGCGAGCCGCTAGAGGGCTAAAAAAAAGTCGTCTCTCTGTGCTTAACTCGAATAGAACCGAATTTACCATAAAAGCAACGTGAAGCTGGAACCATTTTTAATCCTCAAAAATTATACCAAATCGAAATTGCTAATTTTAATTAAAAATTTTAATCAAAGATATTTATTTTCAGACCTATTACCCAATAATATTAAAGAATTTAAAATATGGAAAGGATATTCCTGAATGTACTGCAATTAAAAGGAAAGTAACGAAAGAAAAAGCTACAATTTTTAGAAAAATGCGACATAGGAGAAAATGGTGGAGAATAATATTCAGAGATTAGGAAAGCTATTGAGATTCTTCGATAAATACGATCTAACGAAATATAAGTG